CACGATTTACAGTACACCTACGATCACGTTTTTTTTTGTCATAAGATTCACTTTGTGTTGTTTTCCTATAAACAACTTGATGGTTTGGTCAATATTTGAGATGCTTTGTCGTTTTTGTTACAAACGATAATAATTTTTATTAGGATTAAACGTTATTGTAGACGGAGGGTTGATTTTACTAACGAATTATAGTTGAGGGATTTTTTTAATAAAAAAAATAGTTGAAGGGATTTTTTATGATCCAAGGATAGTTGAGGAGATTTTTTATTAAAAATCCCATCAAAATATATGAACAAATCTCCTTGCAATGAAGAAGATAAAGGGAAATATGTGGCATAAACATTTGTCTTGGGTTGCAAGCAACCAAGTTTAGAATGTATGTTTTAGTTCCATTGCTCATTTGTTATTATTGAGTGAGGTATCAAATGTACAAAAACTTTATAAAAAACCTATGTTAAAGTTTGTTTGCCAAAAATGCCGGAAATTTACCTGTAAACCCAAACTCTAAATCCTTCCGCAATGAGCTTCTTATATATAGGCAAAACAGATGGCTTTGAATCAGTCCAGTTCCAGTTACTTAAAATATCCCTGCTGTTTTCCGAAGATAAAAAAGGAGATTGATTTAGATAATCTCTATTATATATTATCCGCTCAAAATTTTGAAACCGAACATAAGTAATTTAATTATACTTGCAAATGGTCCAGTTCTTGAGATGAACACTGTCAATCGCATGAAGAGCTTTCTGAACATCAACTCTATTGTATAATATTTTCGCGTAATCATCCAAACACGGGTCAAATCCATCAAAAAGCCTCGGTATCTGCTTTAGAGTTTTAGGTAAGTTATCGTGGTAAACACAAAATTAATTTGTTATATAAAATTGGTTTACCATCTTGTAATTGGGGTAAGAATCTATCTTTGATGAATGGCGGATGCAAATAGGAGTGTAGAGGCTGAATTGATCAATCTCTTTGTATTGTTTGAGTATTTCGTCTACGCCATCTTTGCATTCTTTAACTTCCCAAGTAGTGTTACTACTGAAATTGCAGCTCCTTTTTATGATTCTATATGTCTCGTCCGATATCACTGCGTGGCTCCACGCATAATCAACCCATCCTGTCCAATCTTCCGCATATGATGTCAATGGATTTCCAAGCTGCGTCCATAAATAAATAAGAAGCAAATAAAACATGTTTTGCTTGATGTCTATATATTCAAATAGAATCAAACGTATACGGTTCAAGTCTAAAATATATGGAGATCGGTCCAAACTATTGAGCAAAGAAAGATGTATCATATATGAGATTCAAATATACTTAAATGTCCTTAAGGATATCCGGTCTATAATATATCAATAGATCAATGTCCAATGTAAATTTTTTTAGTGTTATGTAGAATCAAGCATACCATATATATGCTAACTTTCAAATGTGAGGTTTAGCATCCAGAAAAAGATAGAACGTACGATGTTTTTGTTTAGTGTTGTACATGAGAATCAAATGTCTTAATTACCAAAATTCCCTTAAGGTTGATGTGAAGTGACAAGGTGTCGTTGTGTTTCTTGTTCTTGTCGTAAATAACCTCTGCAAGCTCCGGTACGTATTTTCCTGTCCATGCAGAATTGTTTATGTAACTCAACAGATGAATAAAACCCCTAGATGACTTATAAAATAATGTTGTTCTTATCCTAAAATCAAAACCTGCATAGCTCTCTCCTGCGATAAAGAATTTGTTCTCTTTGTAAGTTGGGAATCTCTCAAACCACTTTTGGAGAAAAGTGTATGTGTCTCTCGCTGTTGATTGTAAATAAAAACAATCAAGCCACGTCCAACAACAAGAAGAC